ATCGATTATTCTTCGCTTTGGAAAAAACGCTATTTGCTTTTTAACGGTTTACTTATCTTTTTCTTTCTTTCGATCGTTAAAAGTTTTAGTAAAAAGAAATTGCTTTCGATCGTAGCGTTTTTATTTTTCAAAAGTAAAAGAAACAATTTTTCTTATCCTAAGGTATTTATACTCGATTGAAGAAGTTTTTTAGTTTCTCCCTTTCCCCTTGTCATTTTGAAAACTTCCTTAGTAGCACAAAATATTGAAAATTATTGAATACATGTGCATTTAATAATAAAAAGACATTGAATCACGAGTTAACTCGTGTTTCTGTGGTCGAACGTTGCTGACCGGTAACGAGTTAACACGTGATGCGCTTTTTTTTTGCATCACACTATTTAAAATGAAAACGCAACGAAAATAAATATTACAATAATAACAGATTTTTGTGTACTATTGTTATATTGTTTATTATACGAAGAAGAAATATTTAAAGTCTAATAATAATTAAAATTTATTAAAAATCATTTATATTGTTTTACTTTTCAATTCAATTACGAAGTAATAGCCGGTGACATAAGATAAATTCTTAAAAAAATATTGAACACGGCCAACAAAGTGTTAATATTAAATACACATGTATTTAATATTTTGTGTTACTAGTGTTTAAACTTTGGAAGATTTGTATAAGGTTAAGAAAAAAAAAATAAATGAAGAAGAAGGAGGATTTTAAGGTTAGGTAGATATCTATGGCAATTAATGTTATGCAAAACTATACTACCGGAACGTATAGTTACTTGATCGCGAATATTCACTGTGAGAATCCGATTAAAATCAGGGATTTGGGGGAATTGGATCGTGTTTGTTGGATTAACGAGCGCCAGTTTGCATGTGAATCGACGAATATTTCGTCGTTGATTTACGAACTCCTTCATCCTGGTTCTTGTTCTCCCACTTCGTCATCGTTTTCGTTGTTGTAATCGTATCGGGAAATGCTTTGAAGTAGGCAAGGTCAGAGAATTTAGTCTTCTCTCTCTCTCTCTCTCTCTCTCTCTTTCTCTCTCTCTTACTCTCTCTTTCGTAATAATACCAGCTTCAACTTGTCGAATTTGCATGAAAATCTTGGAAGAGAAGAGGGTTGTTGCTGGATCAAGCGTTGAACGAGGATGAAAGGGAGTCAAAGGGTTAAGAAGTTTTCAAGCTAGTAATGAGACTTTGAGACCAAAGAATTACCTAACTTTTAAAGATAATTACTTTTTCTTTCTCTCTTTAATCTTTTTGTATTATTACATAAAACATATTAAACTATTTATACAATAATTCTAACGTTTAAATTGACGTTGATTTATAAATAAAATAAATAAGTGAAATTTATCAATTCGAAAATGTCTTCACGTTTTACTGTTTCATTGATAAAATTATCCTTTGACAAATATAAATTTCATTTCTCTCTTTTATTTCGTGCACGTTCGATATTTCTTCGATTTTCGATTTTACCTGGAGGAATCGTTTGAATTGGAAGGTTCCTTGGTTTGCACCAGTTACTATGCCGTTTATTCGTTGGTATTTTCGTTTTTACTTACCTTATATATATATATAGTAGTATATGTACATAGAAATGTAGAAGTTGGTATAGGTAGATGTGTATAGGTAGAGAATGCTCGTTCACTTGCTTTGCTGACCTATGAATGTCTACAAAATTATGGCTACAAATCACGTATAGTGTTCGTGCAAGCGGCATCCACCGGTTGACGTGATGCGATTCCCTATGAGAGGAACTGGTGTAATTGCGCTACGTGCCCTTATGTGCATCGTTGCGGGCATGAACTTACTCGCGAAAACCGGCACTAACATCTACAGACATTTCCAACTCTGTAAAATGAATGAGCAAACTGGAAGGAAGAAAGAGAGAGAGAGAGATAGGGCATTGCCAATATGCATCCTACGCTTTCTTGTCAGGGTTGTTGTTGTTGGACCATAAACAAGATAATCGCGAGAAATGCAACATATTCCACTACTCGTATTATTTATTATTTGACTATCACAACAATAATCATCCTACCGTACCATTATCACTCGCTGTTACTACAGTTACGCTTATCACTTTAAGAAATCTTATACTCATCTTTTTTGTTAATTATTATATGTCATTTATTAACAAAAGATTAAAATTTGAATTTATATTTAAAACTTTCTTGTTTAATTCACTGCAGTATCAACGACATTATTTATTCCTTTCATAACCAAATATGGGTGTTTCAACACATGGCGGGACACGTGTGTATCAAAAATAGAATAAGAAGACAATTAAACTCTGGGTTCATTTTATATAACCTTAAATAATAATGATAAAAATTCAATAAAGTGGATAAGTTTAAAATACATTTATCTATTTGTAAAATTTCAAGGTTTTCAAATTTTGTTAGTTAAATGATTGAGTTATAGTGTTGCATATAATAAAGGATAGGTTGGTAGGAACGTTCATTGATTATGCAATGGGGGATTTATATGACCTACCCTTTTAATCCTACGACAGGTAATTCCATAAAGCCAAATGCAGCATGCACCAGAGTCGGCCATTATAAGCGCGAACGGGTACTTGTCCTTTAACTAAGCGGATGCACGTGGATTGACATTCGAGACATCGACAGTCGAGTTGACGAGATCGAGTAGAATGTGGTTGTTCCTCGTCCATCATCAACGTGGGTTACCTGTCCGCGTAGTTAACGTTAAGTGATCCATCTATTTTGTAATAAAAAAAAAAAAAAAGAATTTATTCTCCCAGTTGTTTGATTTCACTCATTATAAACGTCCAATCGAAGATTGCGCTATTCAGTTTGCGTACGATTTATGATTTCTTTTGTTTAAATAAGTCGCGTTTCATATATATTTTATTATTTGTTAGTATAAATTAATAATTGTGAATTTACATTAGGAAGATTTTTAATTTTCTTTTCATTTCGTGTCTCTAACGCAGTGTTTTATTTATATTTTTACTAGGGTACTTTGGTCACGATTTGCTGTAGCTTTATTATAAAATGTTTATTTAATATAATTTTAAACTATTTAGTAAATTATAACAACACACAAAATAACACCACACTTACAATGGAATACATAAAATAATAATACTCGAAAAAATATAAAAAAACAAGGTTAGAAAAACGTATGATATATCGGAATAATTGAATTGTAATACAGCGCCAACTACCGAAAACTTCTAGTACCTAAAGACCTAGATAACCTCCAAATAATAAATCCTTAAATTAACAATAAAAAATAGAAATAATCGTGATAAAAAATATCCTATTAAAATTCCAACAATCACTCCATATTATTTATAATAAAAATATGTTGTAAATATATAAATTTATTATAAAAAAAAACAAAAATTAATTCAACATAAATTTCGTAGAGTTCACTCCAATTTCGAATGATAATATATTAAATTATATTATTAATTAATTAAAAAAATAAGAAAATAATGAAGAATAAAATTGGTTTTGGTATAAAAAAAAACTCCAAAAAACCAAGAAGAAATTTATTTTTTTTTTCTTTTGGGTTTCGTATTTCGTAATATAGTAAGTACTCGACATAACCATCGATTTTCGACACGACGTTTGTACATCGATATATTTCGCATCTCCCTTGGTCCTTCTTGTCCCTTTGTTTATCTTCCCTTTTCTTCTCTTCCCTTCCCTTTACGTTCGCTCCATTACGGCCAATTGCCCGTGAACGTTTCCCCCCTTCAAAGTGAGCACCGAGGCGAGTATATTTATTCAAACCGCAATGCATTAGTCCTCTATCCTTTTTATCACCTATCGTAAAGTTTTTTTTTCTTTTCTCATGTGACGTATATTATTCCAAAGACTCGACACACAAAGTTATATATATATATATATCGATCAGGTAAACTGATTCCCTAGATTTCTTTTTTTGACTCATACTTACCTAGGGAATTCATATTTTTGCTTATTTTTTTTTTTCAAAACCAAATGAGAAATTTATCATATGAGTGTGTGGTAGATTATATGTGAGTTAATACGTAATAAAAATTTGTGTTCAATTCAAATAGACAAATAGAGAGATTGAGATTAGTATCTTTGTATAAAAATATTGATATAAGTGATGTTTGAATGATAAAATGTCAATGTGTTGAAGAAATAAAGATAATATTTGCTTAAGATAGTAGTATGTGTGTATGCAAGTAAAAGAGAGAGAGAGAGAAGAAAGAGAGAATAGGTTAGTGTGGATGAGAATATCGAGTAAGTGTGAGAGTGACACACATACACACATATACAGAAAGTGTATATGAGATAGTTTTCCACGTGCATTGAGGTTGGTTGTTTGGATATTATACGAGAAATGTTGGCCATTTGTGGAATGCATATTCAGTCGAATAATAATAATGCATAGGGTAAATATGCATATTTAATCGTCATTTGTTCGTATCTGTATACTTAAATACATATTAACGATTCCCAACAGAGAGTGAAATTCGGACAAGTATCGACATATTATTATTTTGGAGGGTTGGTCTCATCATCCATTGTAGGATCCAATCACTATTATCATTTCTCGATGTTTCGCGTTGTATGGTATTACCATTGATGTTATCTTCAAACGTTCATAATCAACGATACGAGCTTATTTCTTTTATTTTTTTATTTTTTCTAGGATTTGATATACATTGTACTATAGGTTCAATCATGTATGTATACTATCAATCAAAAGTTTGAATTAAGTAATATCAACGTGTGAATGTTTTATATTTTGTATTATGGTAATTTGTTCTTCGAATGTTTCTAATTAAATATTTCAAGTTTTCTTTTTTTAGAAATTGTCAAAAATGTTACAGTAGGAATATTGCATTAAATTAGATGCATAAATTATCTACATACATGAAGATACTGATTTAATTTGTTAATATTTGATCTATCAAGAATATATTATTTGAAAATTGATCGATTTATTAGATTTTCATTGAAATTAACTAATGATTTTAATACATTTTGCAATTTCATAAAAATCCATTTTCTACAGCATGAACAATTACATCTGCTAAACGTAATCTTTTACTCTGTGTATCTAAATACTCGATATGATCTAAATTTAATTCTACGTTCTCATCTGTTAATGTTTCCAAGTCAGGTACTTGCGATTCTGGTAACATAGCAAGTGGTAATGCTTCTAATGAACAAACAATTCCGAAGAAAAAATGTTCTTTTACCTGAAATAATAAAATACAATATTTATTATAATTTTACACAAAAATATGTGTGATGTTGTCAGAATTAAATCAGAAAATAATTTACCTCTTTCATAAACATTTCCCATGGATACAATTTGTTAGAATCTGATCCAAGTAAATTAATTATATAACTTAATTTATTATAATAAATTTTCAACATATCGTCAAATCGTTCTCTAAGAGTTTTGTTTGTACAAGCATAAATAAAGTGTGATAGGTCAAGAATTGGACTAACGCAACGTGCCAATTGAAAATCAAGTAACAAAGCTTGTTTTTTATTTCCTTCGATGTTACGTACGAAAATATTTGTAGTCCATGGATCTCCTTGATTTACAACTGATGTTGGTGCATTCATACGATCACATATTTTATAAGACATTTCAAGGAGTGAACCAAATTTGTAAGAATTAAAACGTTTTAATGCATCACTGTTTGGATATTCAGTAACTAATGCATGTGTTGCTATATCAACCAATCGTTTCTACAAAAAAAAAAAAAATAAATCACAATTGAAATAGAATTGTTTTGATTAAACATAAATAATTTTACTTACGTGAAAATCTTTATACCAATTCCAATGTTTAGGTCTAAAATATGTTTCTTCTAAATGAGATACACACTCGTTAAATTGTTCTTTATTTTGATCTTTGTATGCAAACGAAATACCATGGAAAATAGCAAATGCTTCTAATATGATAGTACATTGTTCCATATCTACACAATCTTGACGAGTTATAGGACCGTATCCTAAACTACAAACATTTTCTAATATCAAATAATCATTTTCACCATCAGCCAATGATTTTAAAAGACGTGGAATATTTAAAATGTGAGCTTGATTTTTGCTTTTGAGAAATTCTTCAAATTTCGGTATAATCTGAAAAAATTATATTTCAAATAATATTTATTAAATAATTTCAAAATAATACTTATCAAAAAATTAATTACTATAATTAATATTAAAATACTTGTATAAAAAATATTAAATGAAATTACCTTGGTATAAAATGTTATTTCATTATGAAAGAATTCCGTACATCGATACATTTTTCTTCTTATTAAATTTGGAGGCAATGATTTTATCACAATATCAGTTTGTACAGGTTTGCCATCAGCAATGCCATTAACCTTGACTTTGTTAACTATCCCTAAATAGCCATCACCTTTAGCACTTCCATCACTAATATTCCAATCGATTACTTTAACATCTTTTGCATTATGTTCCGCAACAAGTATACTTTCTAATATTTCTTTATTAAGTTTAGCACTTATTTTACTTAGCATAACTTGATTTTTCTTTTCACTCATTGTTAAATTTTCTATCGGTCAGATAAAAATTGAAACACGATAGATATTTGTATAAAAAGAAAAACTAGAAATTATTTTAAATTACTTACAAACTGTATGAAAATCAAATTTTAAGAGAAAATACGTGATTTCACAAAAGAAATAACTTCTACAATGAATACAAGAAATAATTTTGGGATTAACTAATGAGATAGGTTCCCCTTCTTCAATTTTCAGTGTTGTCATATGAAACTAGCTTTCTGATTGGTCTCAAGACTAATCAGAACAATGATAACCGGTATCGTTATTTGTTTTCTTTTTATAGATTCTGCTCTAAAACTTGTGACACAACACAAAAGATTATTTATTGTCAACTTTATTTGTAAGACCAAATATTTGTTTTACAAATATAATAGAAATTCTACAACATTGAATATAATCATTAAAAATTATTAATTATTATCATGTATTATTTATTTAATTAATTTTTATAATTATCAGTAATATTGATTTTAATTGATTTAATGTAATTAATTGAGAGTTGTTAGTTTTTTTTTTTTTTTTTTTTAATTATTTATTACGTCATTTAAGGTATTTTTATTTCTTGTTATGTAAGATATTTCTTATCAACAGTGATAAGACATTTTTATCTGTGACATTTTATTCTTCTTCCTATAAATTCGAGTTGCTTCTCTATTAATACCTTATTACAGTTATTCAATACTATCAAAGGTGTCATTTTACCATCTCTCGGAGTCGATAACATATCTTTTATATAGGATGTCCCATATAACTTTTTTTGCATGATTTTTCAAATATGTACATATTAGCTTACAATAACCTGACAAAAAAAAAATACTTTAAATAAAAGTTTGATCACTTTTTAATTGGCTATACATTGTAATAAAACAAATGTTTAAAAAGTGATTGTTTTTTTTTTATTAACACGTTCCGTGTCACGTGTACCACCGGTGGTATACATACCATTTGACATATTTATTTAATGCACTGAAAATATATGTTTAAATCTGTAAAAGAATATTTTTCTATTAAAATATTGATGCATTATACAAAATGTAGTATAGAACAAGGCACATAAGTTTGTTTAATTGTTATATTTACAATAATTAATATTTACATGTAATGGTTGATTGTATTAAAGCAAAATTAAATGGCCTGAAAGACAAGTCAGATAAAAAAAAAAACTTGGCATTGAACATGTTAATGTGTTTTAAAGCTACCTTTATTTTTTTAAATGACACTTTGTATTTTTGACAGCACATATCAAAACGAATTCAATAACGTAGTATACTATGACTTTCAAATAGTCAATATGGTAATGCATGAGTCAGAAACGTTACTATCTTCGATAACTCACCCATTTTCCTCCTACTCCTTCTCTCTTTCTATCTCTTTTTACTTTTTTCACGCTAACACGCACTTTAGTATAGTGCTTGTTTTTTTTTTCAATTCCTTTTTTTGTCTTTTTCCAATACATTCCTTTTTGATCTGTCAAGGTTCATCGTTGTATCGGCAAAAGCTTTACCCAGGAAAGGCTTATTTTGATGAATAAACGTCGTGAGAGGAGGTGGCGAGGAAGGAAGGGAGACAGTATCTGATTTACTGGACCATAAATATCTCTAATCTGTACGAGACACGGGGCTACACCTTTCTCTTTCTCTCTCTCTCTCTCTCTCTCTCTCACTCTCTCTTACACTTTTGCGCGTCCGTAGTTTCAAACGTTCTGTCTCTCTCTTTCTCTGATGCTCTCTTTAACTGGCCTGGTTTTCCTTCCGCTTTCCATCCTTCATCCATTTACCGGCTAAAAAAGAGCACTGAATAACGAGTCAGCGAACAGCCGCATCCAGAAATTCCTAGATTTCCTCTCTCTCTCTCTTTCTCTCTCTTTTTATCTTTTTATCTTTTTTTCTATCCTTATTCTTGTCCTTTGTGTGTTTTTTCTTTAACTTTTCTTATGCATAAATTGTATTTATTTTCTAACAAATAAATTGTTTCATCTTAATGTGATGCCAGAAAAATATTTTAATAATTATTAATGTTTATTTTATGTTTATAATAAATATTTCTTAGTATTATAATTAAATTTTTTATTTGTTGTTGTCGGTTTAATAAAATCTTATTATATTTTTCGTATTTTTTTTTACTTTGAATTTTACTGTTGAATTGCAATACATCACCATCTATCAAAAACTTACAGAACCTAAAGACTTAGATAACATAACCTATATAAATAATAAATATATTATATATAATATATAATATGTAATATTTAATATATAAATAACAGCACAAACAAAATAATACCATAATTAAAATTAAATATATAAAATAATAATACTCGAAAAAATATAAAAAGTAAGGTTAGTTATGTCATATGAAAATCTGAAACAAAACGTACGACGTGAATATATCGAAATAATTGAATTGTGATACAGTGCCATCTATCGAAAATTTCTAATACTTAAAGACCTAGATAACCTCCAAATAATAAATCCTTAAATTAGCAATAAAAAATAGAAATAATTGCGATAAAAACTATTCTATGTACTAAATTGAAAAAAGATCAAACAAAATAAACAAAATCTCATTAAGATCGGTTAAAGAATTTTGAAGTTTATTGGAAACCAACGATATGACACGAAATCTTTATATATTAGGTGATTCGGAAAGTCGTTTCATTTTTCTTTTGTAAAAATGAAGATAATTTTTGCTTCGAGGTTAAACTTAAACCTTCCAGGTGGTCATTAATAGTTGAATTTGATAAATTTAACCTCTCATCTCATCTCATGTGTTATTATTTGTTGGTTTGCATCAACTAATGCCATTATTGCGTCAGCAAAAAACGAAACGACTTTCCGCACCACCTAATATAAAGATAGATGTCTTTGTTATTCAGAAACTATTTTAGTTCTAATTTTTTTTTCTGTGATACTTTAACGTTGATTTTCTTGAAGGAAAAGTAAAGGTGGATATTATTCGAAATTCTTCTTTAAACGTTTCGTATCTCAATTCTCTTTTCTTATTCTCAGCCACATCTTTATGGACCATTTAAAATTCGTGCTCGTTCGCGAGCAGTAACGGGTTGGGATGATATCGGAGAATGAAATCGGTACTGAGATCACGAGTTCTCATTACGACGACCGAAACTATCTTACGATCTTTCCACCTGACGCCTTTCTTCCATGCCATTCTATTTCCCATCAAAGTCTGATTTCTTGATTATGATAATTAGATTAGATTAAAACAGATCAAATCTATTTTAAACTTTATAAATTGTATCGTATAAATTATCTGATGTAATATTGCTATAGAGAAAAATATTGTATTAGTAAATATTTCGATTAAATTTGATTCGACAATTTTTTGCTTTTTTATATAAATAATATTAAATGGATTGTTAATATTATGCATAGAAAATATTAATAAATTTTTTTTTTTTTAATTATAAGTATTAGTATTATATTTTTATATTTGGATAATAAAGATTTATTAAGTTTTTTTTTTTTTTTTATATATTTTGATGTATCAATTTGTTATAGGCAGAAAACTTGATGTTTTAAAATATTTTTGTGTTAGGTTTAAAACTTTTTACATAAAACGAACAGATGTATAAGAAATGCATGTGAATTTTACTATTTGCACACAGTGTATGATAATGATGTTCAATTGTATAGAATTTGTACAAAAAATTCATTTATTCTCTGTCAAATTGGATTTTCATTTTGTAAGATTATTATTATAGAGAGTTTGTTAGAAATATATTTTATGTAATAATTCCTATAAATTCTTCTTTATTATTGGTACTTAGATTTGAAGACAAATTTTTATCTTTATTAAAAATTTCATCAACTTATTATTTTCATGAACTTCGTCTTACTTTGAAAACTATAGAAATTGTAAGAAGAATATCAGAGAAAGAGAGAGAGAGAGAGAGAGAGAGAGAGAAAGAGGTTGCTTACTCAACTAATCAGAGGTTTACATTTTGAAGTAAATCTACTTACCAATCGACTTACCAATCGACTTACCAATCAATTTCAAGCTTGTCACAGTATCGAACTTTAATTAAGCCCCCTTTTCATGTTGAATGTAATGCCATAGACGAGATATACAGAAGCACAGTCAAGGAATTTGTTAGCTAACTGGGACACACCACAGACAAGAAGATAGTCAAGCCAATTGGTGAAATACTTGTAACTGACCTCTGATTATGAACTTGGGTTGATTGACCTCTTGTCTAGTATTACGTTCAATAATTTGTTTAAACGTATTTTAAAATTAATTATTAAATCGAGAATTTTCACTTAGAGATGTGATATTTAAGTCTTATAAATATGAAATATTTTATCAAAGTTACCGATTTGCTAATAATCTCTACTTTTTTTTTTCTTTTACTTTTCATACCGATCTTTACATTTAATTATACCTGTAATATGTAATTATGAACTTAATTAGGGGAAAATTCGATAATTAACATTTGAAATTAAACGTTAGAGTATCATTAAAAATTCTTTTTTAATATTTATATCCTAAATTTATCATTACTTTTAATTATGATATATTATATTTTAATTATATTAATTTACAAAGTTATATATATATATATAAATAAAATAAATAAAATATAATAAAAATATACAATAAAATATTTTTTATTAATAATATTCGTTAGTTAGACGAATACAAAAATATGATTAATTATTACATAATTATTATTACAATATGTAAAAGAAAAATTTACATTATATTTGTGGTTATACGTAATGAAAATATTGAAATATTATATAAGTTTTTATACTTTGTATGATAATTTTGACGCGAATATCGATTAAACTGAAAAAATTATTTATTTAATTTGTAAAATCTGCACTAACGTTAAAAACATTTTCGTTATTTCGAAAAATAGCAATACCTGTTATTCGTGTCACGAGTAAATTGATGATTCGGATGAAACAAAAAAGTCCTTTTAAATCGTACCAATTGCCAATAAATGCTCGACTATTCATTTCTATAGTTCACACAGATACATACCCGTTACGTTTTCGAACAAAAAAGGGAACAATCCACAAACGAATTAATTTTACGAATCTTTCCAACAAATTCGTTCGTTAAAATTCATCCTCAT